CCCTATGCCAGGCTATTTTTTAAAGATGAGGTCTCACACTTGCTCAGGCTGGTCTTGAACTTGTGAACTCAGGTGATCCACCCACCTCGGCCTCCCAGAGTGCTGGGATTACAAGCATGAGCCACCAGGCCCAGCCATGGAATATATATTTTTACTAAGTTCCCTTCTGGGGATTCTGATAAAGGGGACTTCTTAGACCACACTGAGAAACATTGCCCCAAAGGTTCCAAAATCCTAGGGCTTCAGGGTGCTTATTTTGGGTCCTTCCATGGGCTGTCACAACAAAGTTGCACAAACTGAGTGACTTAAGACAACAGAAATTTTTTCTCTCAGGCCTGGAAGCTAGAAGTTTCTGGAATTAAGGCATCAGGAGGGCCTCCAGCCCTCTGAAATCTGTAGGGTAGACCTTTTCCTCCTCGCCTCTTCTAGGCTCTGGTAGTTGTTGCCAATCCTTGGCATTCCTTGGCTTGTAAATGGGGCACTCCAGCCTCTGCCTGTCTTCTCCATGGATGTCTCTGTCTTCTCTTCTTTTTTTAATTTCAAATTAATATGAGGGGAAAAGGGTAGGAGGGATGGAGATTGGTAAACTATCTTTTCTTAAAAGGACACCAGTCCTTGGATTAGGGCCAGCCTAATGACCTCATTTTAACTTGATTATGTCTGCAAAGACTTTATTTCCAAATAAGCTCTCATTCACAGCTACTGAGGGTTAGGACTTCAACATACCTTTTTGAGTGACATACTTCAACTCATAGATTTTAAATACTTAAAAAAAATATATGGGCTCAGCGCTTGTGGCTCAAGTGGCTAAGGCCAGCTACATACACCTAAGATGGTGGGTTCGAATCCAGCCCAGGACTGCCAAACAACAATGATGGCTGCAACCAAAAAAAAAAAAAATAGCCAGGCGTTGTGGTGGACACCTGTGGTCCCAGCTACTTGGGAGGCGGAGGCAGGCAACTCGCTTGAGCCCAGGAGTTGGAGGTGAGCTATGATGCCACAGCACTCTACCCAGGGGGACAGCTTGAGGCTCTGTCTCAAAAAAAAAAAAATATGGGCCAGGCACAGTGGTTCACGGCTATAATCCTACCACTCTGGGAGGCTGAGGCAGGAAGATTTCTTCAGCTCAAGAGTTCAAGATCAGCTTGAGCAAAGTGAAATCCCATCTCTACTAAAAATAGAAAAAACTAGCTGGGCGCTGAGGCACACACCTGTAGTCCTAGCAACTCAGGTGGCTGAGGCAAGAGGATTGCCGGACCCAGGAGTTTGAGGTTGCTGGGAGCTAGGCTGAGGCCCATAGCACTCTAGCCTTGGCAACAGAGTGAGATGCTATCTCAAAAAAATAAATAAATAAACTTACACAGCTATGATTCAATAAAAAAAAAGAAAAAGAAATAAATAATAAAATAAAACAACAAAAACAAACACTAAGACAGGTTAGCTATGTTCTTTAGCTGGGCTATCTAGAGAGAAAAACCAATAATTAACTCTCAAAGCATGGTGGACAAAGAATCACTCGGAAAGCTTATGTTTAGAATGCATGTTGCTGGTCTCTGATCCCAGATAATTAAAAATCAAAATCGATGTACCTTTAAGTATAGCAAAAAGGTTTCCTAGGCTATTGCTCCAAATATTGTAGAAAGTTCCTCTCTTTGCTTGTTTCTTGTGAACTTGAAGACTCTACTTAGGTGACAGGGGCGGTAAGGAGGTGGAGTTAGGAACATGCAGATTTTGACAAATATGTAACATGGGCTAGGAATATAAACTTTAAGCTGCAATGCTCCCAGCTAGGGGCAAAATTCAAGATGATAGGAAGAGTAGTTAACTGTTGGAGCTATTTCTATAAACGCTCCTTGGGTAAGTTAACGAGGGACAGAAGTAGGCCAGCTACATTGTCGGCAATCTACTATTGCACGTAGAAGTGTGACAGGTAATGGTAGTTTATTTTATTTATTTTAGTCATCCCATAATCAAAATTCATATTTTTTTTTTTGAAACAGGAGCCTCCAGCTGTCCCCCTGGGTAAAATGCCATGGCATCACAGCTCACAGCAACCTCCAACTCCTGGGCTCAAGCGAGT